TGTTCTTCAAGTTTTCTTTTTTCATGTTTTTATTAATATTCTGTTTTGTTCTTCAAGTTTTCTTTTTTCATGTTTTTATTAATATTCTGTTTTGTTCTTCAAGTTATCTTTTTTATGTTTTTATTAATCTTCTGTTTTGTTCTTCAAGTTATCTCTTTTCGTGTTTTTATTTATATTCTATTTTGTTCTTCAAGTTATCTTTTTTCATGTTTTTATTAATATTCTTTCTACCATTTCATTATTTTAAGCAGTTTTTGATCTTGCTTAGTGCCTGTGTTGGCATCAGTGTGAAGGTTAGTGAAAGGTATATTTAATTTCACCAAAAAAAAATCTCACTTTTGGCATCACTGTGAAGGTTAGTGAAAGGTATATTTAATTTCACCAAAAAAAAATCTCACTTTTGGCATCACTGTGAAGGTTAGTGAAAGGTATATTTAATTTCACCAAAAAAAAATCTCACTTTTGACATCAATCTTGTAACTTTCTATCTTTGAACAGATTCTGTTGGATTATTTGGTATAAATTATGCTAAGTGAACTTCACATAACAATAACAAATTAATTTTTTCAACAACCAGGCTACATTTATTGTAGGCCCAACTTCTTAACATTGTTTGTACAGAAATGTCAGGAGTAATAGTATGCATCTCTTAACTTACAAATAAACTTATTTACAGAGTTTCCTTGCTAATCAACAGATGTTGATTACTAACTTACTGACAAATATACACTAACTCTGTGTCTAACTGCTGGTTTGCGAGTTCTGAATAATTATAAAGTTAATTTAAATAAATAATAAAAGATGTTAAGTATTAAATAAATATATTACACTATGTTATTACATCTTTCCCTGAAAACTTGATTATAATGAATCTAGCAGTGGTTTTTCAGAAATTGATGATGTAAGTTGCACTTACACCCTACTATGTCTATCATATACCAGCTGGCTTGAGGAACCATAGTATGTATAAGTCAGAAACCCTCATCAGAATTAGATATAACAGATGTATTGTGATTGACAGATTATGGCATATTCTACTTTACTTTCACTCACAAGTTATTAAAATTGCTACTAATGCTGAATTGAAAACCTCCTTAATTCACTAAATACTTCATTTAATTGTTGTTTTTTTACTTAACAACAATATTCTAGATCAATACATCATCATTCTTATTAGAGCAAACTACCAACAATTATTATAAAACTGTATGCTAGAACACTTTCACTGGAATCTGTGATGGTTTTTATATTTCTGTGTTTGTTTGTGTGATTACTAGACATGGGTCTTTTGTGATATATTTATTATTTTTCTTAGAACATACTCTAAAATAACAAAATAAAAATTATTTTATGTTACAGTTAAGAAGTATTTCTTTAACCTATTCATTTCTTTTGTTTATTATTATGACTAATAGGATATTAAATTAATTACAACATTGTAAACTACAGATTAGTTAAAAGTCTTAACAATAGACATATTATAATGTGTTAACCCCATCATTACTGGTTTAGCACAAATACACAACAAGTTTTAAACCCCCAACTTCCCCATTTGTTGTACTATTTGTGCTTTTGAACTACCTCACTGTCTTGTCAGTCAAATTCTTTTGTGAGTTCTATACTAGCTACAGCTATGTCACCTGTGACTAGTGCTATGTCACAGGCCTCAGGTGTGGATGGCCCAGTGGGGGATTTATCAGCATCTATTTGCTAGGAGATTGAATGTTAGATGGGTCAACCTCTAGCTCCAAACCTCACCCCACTTCCTCCTGAACAAACGGAGCCTGTTCAGGTAGACGAGGACTTGGATCGCCTGTTTCCACCAACTGATTTTGCTGTGCCTTTCCATGTCTTGCCTGAGAAATCAGTTAGGCCTACTATGGTCTTTTTGAATTTTGTCTCTCAGGTATATGATACTTTAACTCTTGCCCCTATTTCCCATGAACTGCATCCATCCTTACTACATGACCAATCTTCCCATCCCTATTTGATTTTGCATCACCCCATATATTAGGGTATATGCTGACCATTTTGTTTCACAATTGAGTGACAGGTTTAGCATGCCTCGCCCCCATGGACTTTGTATCAGTTTGCTCTTGCATATCATCATGCAGGTTGTCCTTTTCTAGACCAACAATTGTGAGGTTTCATTTTGCCCTTTTGGGGAGTTGCCCGCAAATTTTCTGTAAGTCTCATCCAAATCCAATTTTCCTGCCTTTATCTTACCCTCACAACTCTTTTATGGTATCCCCTACCATCCATCTCCTCTCTGAGGCTATCTACCAAAATCCTGAGGGTTTTTTTGGGGACACTCTCTCCTTTCTTTCCTCCATGTTGGCTTGTTTATCGTCTTAGACTCTGGCTTTGCATATGTGGTTTCTCTGTTGTTGGGACCTTCTATGTCATGATGCAACCTTAACTCATATCGATTATCTTATCTTCAAAACCTACGTATGGCCCCATTTCTCTGGAGTTATCTATTTGACACAATTCCTGAGTCCTTGAAGTCAGGAGTTGCATCAATATACCAACAGTCTACCCTTTCCAATCTTGTTGCTTGTTTGTCTCAGTTGGAGCCCAGTATAGCACCTCTTACTGTTTCCTGTTCTTCCCCTTATCTGACCCTCCTTCTTGGGATGCCCTGTCTCATAATTTTCTTCGATGATGCACATCATGTCACCAATAGTACTGGTAACTGCCTGGTTCTGTGTGGGAGTCCTTACCACTTTCCAGTTCCAAGCCACTGGGGTGGTTGACTGTGGAAGCATCCTCCTGAATGGGTCCCACACAAAGATGGCTATAACCATTCAGTGTAGAGTAAGGCAGTGGTGTTCTGTGGGTGAAAATGATGTGATATCCTCCAATATGCATTATACAATCACAAATGAGTGAGAAGTAAATTGCAGTTCTCCCCTTCGATTGGGTGCCTTCATCCTACTCTCGTGGATATCAGTACTCAATGGCTGGGTTTTGGATTTAAAGTAGAACCAGTCAACATAAGTTCTGATGCATGTTTATGGTTGCGTACATTCCTCCCTCGATAATACTTCTGTGTTGTGGGTCACAGTGGAGGTAAGGGGAAATGTTCCTGTTTTTTCATTTTTGCTATACTTCAGTTTATCTTTTTGGATGGTTCAAGTTGGTTTTGCTGTAGGTGGAGTAGATTTATTTTATATAGACATACTTCTTCTGTGTTGTGGGTCACAGTGGGGGTAAGGGAGATTGTTCTATTTCTATCATTTTTTGTTATCCCTTATGTATCTTGAAGACTCTGATCATCAATCTTCATTTCATCTTGCTCCTGTACCTCATTTTCTAATCTTGCATTCCTTGTCAGATAAAGCTATAGGGCAAATGTTTCCCTTTTTCATTCAAAATGGATTAGAGGGGTCCTCCAAAGTCAGTCAAGAAGCTACGTTCTAGGGACATCTTGGTGGAAACATTAACACCAAAACACAGTGAACTCCTCTTGAATTTGAAGGCTGTTGGGGATATATGAGAGCACTGGTCAAAGGGTGGGCGTCGTGCCCGTGGATTTTAATGATTTTTTGAGGGTACCACAGCCATTTTGAAATATACAGCAGCAATTGCTGCCTTAGCCACTGTGACTTTCCTACTCTGACAGAGATATTAAGACTTACTTGTTGAGATTATAAGGGTTTTTTAAATTATATAATGAGAAAACCATTCTAAGTATTCTGTTAAAAGAAAAGAACCTCAGATGCATAAATCAAAATGCCTTTGCTCCTACTGTCTTAGTGGTTGACACCAACCTTGTGACCCCAAAGACACCATCAGTTTCCATGCTGTAACTTTTAAAATGTTTTGTGTATCTTCATGAAATTTTTCAAGCTTTTAATAAATACTGTGTCTTTTGTAGACAAAAAATGAGGATTTTCAATTAAGTGTTTTTACTAAACATTTGTCCGTGAATATATGGAGTCAGTGTGTTGACTGCTGTTAGTGCAATATGAGTTTCATGTTAAGATTCAAAATACTTTTTTTCCATCTCAAAATTTGCCAGTTTCACTAGCATAATTTCCAAAACCTCCTGAGCTTTGGATTGGTTATTCATGTCATATATAGAAGTAAATGTATATAAGGGAGCATTTCCAAAAAATGGAAAGAGATGGGCGGGGTGTCACTGTGTTTGATTTATTACATGAGGAATATTGTAGCAAGTTGAAAAGATAAGAGGCTATTATTTTATATTCTAGCTTTTCAATATTGGTAATTTGAGTTTCTAGTTCGTACGAAACTATAGACTAAGTAGTTTGACTTCACAAACACCTAATTTTAACAAGTGCTGCATTTAACATACCATGTTACACATAAAAATTGATGCTTGTCTGTGTTTTTTTAATATTTACTTTTAAATTAAGAAATTGAATAACATATAGTACTAAAATTTGAATTATAATCTACAGTGTGATAACAATCTTATTGACATAAATTCATGAAATAGTAGTTCAATAGAATTTTGAATGTGAGTCAACAAATGAGATGACATAGTCTTCCACCCATGACCCGTCTCGAAATGGTTAATACACTGACATACCCATTATATATTTATCATTTTTAAATGCTTTAAATGTTACATGTATTCATTACCATATCGATAATTAAAGGTGTTTATTAGATTAAATTATATTCATATATATATGTATAAAAATGAATTTTAAAATATGTTTGTTCATCATGAAACAAATGTTACGAGTCTTTTATTGTAGCAAAAAGTAATAATTATTGCCATATTTGTTCTGTAGCTCACATTTTGAAATACAGTAAGCTTTGATGTTATTTGTGTTTCTTTGTCAAATTAACTTTCTGTTCATAATTTACATTTCTCACTGGAAACAGTACTTGGAAGCAAATCCACAGCTTTGAAATATGACTTTAATGTCATCATGTTTTAAAGTTAGTATACTGTGATGACTTTATTTGTATTTCATTCTATGCTTTACTGATGACATAATTGTTTTAATTTTTCTTGATTTCAGAACACATTCCACAGGGTACAAACTGATGAATATGATGATACACAAGAAGATAAGTTTAGTTTTGAATTAATTGTCAATGATGATGATAAATCAGAAGATCAGGTTTTGAGTGTGAAAAAAGGAAAGAATTTTAGAGATGAATTTCCACAAATTGACTCTGTGTTGGAAAATTTACCTGGTAAATACAAACTTCTCCAAAATACTTTTTAAAATCATCACAGCTGATTGCAATAAGATATTGTTTTGTCTAATTAAATCTTAGTAATAATTTGAAGTATTTAAGTAAAGCTGTGACAATCAAATATTATTATTAAGCATTATCATGGTGAACAGTTTATATTATCACTTAAGTGCAATAATTAATTAGTTACTGTATTTAAATCTTTGAGACCCAGGTGTTTTAACATAAAACACCTTGTTTTGTTACATATCAGAAATGAATTACTGGATGAAAGTGCTTAAAACTTTAGAATTACTTCTTACAGGTTATAAAGCTTCTGCTAATTAAATATCTTTTTTATATGTAATATTTGTATTAATTCACAGATTTGAAATTTCAAAAATATTTCATTATGATATGTTTTTCAAAACAATTTGAAATATTTTTCTGTGTTGTACATTTTTATTCCTCATTTATTTGTCTTCCTACATTCTTTTAACACTTTCATATAAATTTTTTACTGTATAAAATTGTAAATTTTATCTTTGTTTGGATCTAAAAACACTACACACAGTTCACTGTTTACAGTTGCTGACATTCAATAAAATTAACTTTTTATCTTACCAAAATTATAAATGAATTAACCTTTTGTTGAATTGCTAATCAGAAGGTTCAGTTTTCTACAGAGTGTACATTTTAAAGCCATTTTATAGTAATTGATTTACTTATTTTTTTTTCATATAATTTATTTTTGGTGATTTTCTTTGTGTAATGTAGCAGTTATTTATGCTGATAAGACATAATCTGAACAAGGCCTAACACAGCAGCTTTGTTACTGAAACAAAACTTGATGTGGTTAAGGACAAAATGATTTAACTAAGCCTGACTCATGTTTTCCATTAAAAATGATTCTATTCCAATCATACTGCTACATCATAATTCAAATGAAGTATGAAATTATAAAGCAAGCTTTTCCAAAAATTGTTGGGACTGTTATAAGCTTTGTTTTCCTTGCAAGATATCACAAAGGTATGTTTATATCACTTTCCTCTATTCTCTGTGTGAATCTTTACTGAACTGAAAGCCAAACTGGATTATACAGTTGAAAATTACATAAAAAAGCTTTCATTACTTGTTTTGATCCCTAACCTATAGCTACACAAAACTGAGGTATAGTTAGTATTAATTTCTGTTCAAAGTAAACTTGCCTTCATAGATTAAACCTAAAAATACATATCAAATAATTAGCGTAGGTAGTTAGACATAATGTTCAAGCTATATTACTGTAATATTAGGTCGTCAAGAAATTGATGTCATTTTTTTTTAGATGATAAAACCTGAACAAATTATATATCAAACAAAACATTTATTAAATGAAATAGTTTCCATTCTTATCGATGATGCTTTTACATGTTACAGTCAGGTTGTTCATGCCCTGATTAAAGAAATCACTTGGCTTTGAAGCAAAAAACAAGTCGATGTCCTCTTTAACACCTTACACATCTGCATATGTTTTCCCATTAAGATGGTGCTACAGCGAATGAAAGAAATGGTAATCTGATGGTGCCATATCTGGAGAATATGATGGGTGGGTAGGGGAGAACTTCCCAACCCAACTCCATAATCTTGTGTTGCATCAAATGTGTCATATGTGGATGTGCATTGTCATGGAGAAGAACACCTTTCCGATTGATGAGTTAAGGACGTTTCTGATTAAGGGCTTGATTTAAATGTTCCAGTTGCTGACTATAGATTTCTGCACTAACAGTTTGCTGTGGATTGAAGAGGTCGAAATGAATTACTCCTTTGATGTCCCACCAAATGCAAAGCATCTCTTTCTGCAGATTGAGTTGGGTTTTTTGTCTTGGACTGAGCCATTGTTTTTTGACATTTAATATTTGCATAGAGAATCCATTTTTCATCACCAATGACAATTTTGTTAAAAAAAAAGAGACAAAGCAATGTTCACACATTGGAAATGATGGTCATCGGAGAGTTTGTGTGGCACCCAAACACTTTCTTTATGGAGTTTTCCCATATTCTTTAGATGTTTATGTATTATTTCAAGAGAGACATGCAATTTCAGGGCCATTTCATGAGTGAGTTGCCTTGGGTTAGACTCAACAAGTGTCTTCAGAGCATCAATAACAATTTCAACATGTTGGCCCCTGCCATCATAGTTTTTAAGACTAAAGTCACCGGAATGAAATTTGTTGAACCATTGTTGACACTTACGAACGTTCAAACATGTCCATAAACTTCTTTGATATTCTTTGTGTCTACAGAGGCATCGTTTCCCTTTTTGTATTCAAACAGCATTACATGCCAAATGTGTGTCTTGTTGTGTGCCATCACTATAAGAGATTAGAGTATACTAAACTTTACACATTATATAGGCTGCACTAACGCGATGTTTAAGCAGTTCGTTTTAACTATTATATCTGATGTTTGTTTTTTGAGGGTGGTTACTGAAAGTGTTCCAAAACGCGATATTAATTACTTGACGACCTAATAATTAGAATCCATTCTTCCATCAGTTTGGTATGCCTCCTGTTTATGATGTATTCTAGAATAGGTACATTACATGTTTCTTTGTTGTTACATTTGTTGTCCTGTATGGGTATGTTACTTTGCTGTTACATTCATAGTCAATTATAAGTGTACATGTTACATTGTTAGTATATTCATGCAGTATAAAGTACATTTTACTTTTTTTTACATTCATTTTTCAATATAAGTAAATATTTGTTACTTTCAAAATATTAACTTCTCATGAAAGTAAGCTATCTACATAGATATAAAAATACGTACCAAGAACTGAGAATAATTAATTAAATTAAATATTCAAAATTATTACTTATAACAATAGTTTTCAAACTTGTTGGGCTCACGTAACAGTTTTTGTTCAACATTGTTTGAGACTAATATAGAAAAAAAAACCTAATGGCAAAAATAAATATTTTTAATGCCTGCTCATTGATAGGAAGAATGTGGTATGATTTTTGTTGATTTCAAGAGAAAGAATACTAGCAAGTGTATACAGGCTGAGGGCAAGTGTAGAAATGGGGAGAATAGTGGAAGCTGAAACTGAGCTTATTGGCAAATTTTGAACTTTTTTTTTTAGTAAATATTTTTTAATTCAACCTGAGAATCACTGACTTATAATGATGAGAATGAATTGTTTCATCAGTTGGATACCCTTGTTGTTAACAAGATTTTCGACCATAAATTCAATAGTCTATTATGAGTTTCAGCAAGCCTAGAAGGCTTAATTTAGTCTTAATTTCATATACTAAATAAGCAGTGCAGAATAATCATAATAAAAAGATAAAAAAACACAAATGTAATTAATAATTAGTATTACCCTTAATATGAATAAAGATTTATCTGGCCAATCCTATCATTTCTTTTAATATTATGCTTGGCCATCTTGTCCTATTGTTTATAATAATTAATGTCAGGACCAGCTGTGTACAGCCCGATTTGCCCTAGGCATTCTACACTGCTTAGCACATCTGTTTTATAGTTTGTATTGGTATGTGACACCTATTTCCACACTGGGCAAAGAGTATCCCTGGTACAGAAGTGGTGTGGTCTCCCACATGTGTTCCCCTCCTAATGGGGGGTCACACTTTAAGGGTGTCCTTCAGACACTTTCAAAGGATACTTCTCTATATCCCTTGCACTGGTCCCTCCACTTCTTCAATGTGGTATTCTAGCTATACATGTGAGTAGAGGTAAGGTACATTATCAGAAGTTATTATTTTCCTACACTGAAAATATGTTTCTGATAGATACTTACCTCCTCTATCATTTTCCAGTCTTCCTCCCCACTTAAAACTGGTGCTTCCTTTCTGCCTAATCTCGAAGTGATAGTTTGGTAGAATCGATTAGAGGGATTTACAAGTGTCAGGAGGGTGTGTCAATGTTGAGGGGGAAGTGTGAGTTCAAGGCTTGTGGCATGCATAAAATACTTTTACATATAGAGGGCAGAACTGAATGAGAATAGCTATACATGTGAGAGAACGTTAGTACATATCGGAAATATATTTCCGATACAATATCTTACCTCCTCTCACAAATAGTTTTTCTTGATTAGTACTGCCCTCTATTGGCACAGATTTTCATTGCTTGCCACTAGCTTCCTCTTTCTGCTCCTTCATATCTACATCTAAATGATTTTGCATCAGCTCTCCACCAATAAGAAAGCAACACAACCTCTATCTTAACTAGAGCCCTCTCCACATTTGCACTCATTAATCTCTTCTTGATTGGCAGTCGTACTGTACGGACACACTTGTCTTTGTTCATGAATTTGTCAACATTTTCTCTTATATTACAGACTGAGTGTTTCTTTATGTTTTTATTTCTTTATTAACAGGAGACCTTTTGCTAAGGTATTGTGGATCTCACTCTGTGGTGATTGGTACATGACCAGGTATAATTTTTTGTTTGAAAATATGCACTGTCTATCCTGTGACAAATGCTCAATGTCAATTATATTGTAGCTTTTCTTACCTTGGACCTGATGTTCAATTCCAGATGCTGCCAGGTGTTGGTTGTGTGTCTCCGTTCAATTGTCATCTATGCCAAAACAATTATGTCACAGGATTAAATTAGGCACACCATAGAGATGGAATGTTCCTTAGTACTGCTATTAGTTCTCTCTAGTGGTTATTTGCTTCATAAATATGTTCATTCCAGATCTTACACTCGTGGACATGAGTAAAGCAGACATAGATTTCTGCTCATCTCTGATGCTCCATGGCATTGAGTTTTGTCCTACCAAGGACCTGATCTACAATTCCAGATGCTGCCAAGTATTGGTTGATTGACTTTGTTCTTGTGATAGTTCTGCTTTTCAAAATAGGGTATCGAGGTCACTCATTGCACTGTCTCTCGTGATGTGATCCTCCTGACTCTCCAGCATATATTTTTCCCTCCTTCCTTCTAGTGGAATATGGGAGTCCTTGTCACTCCAGTTCCTAGCTGCTGGAGTGGAGTACCATGGAGGCCCG